GAATTTTCTATAAGGGCAATAACTGACAAAATGATGTACACAACTATACACATATGACTATCAATTATAAAAGATTAATTACTGTTATACATACTTATATACACAATATATAATGTAGCAATGCCAACATGTAATTTACACATTCATATTCTGGAACATTAGCTAAAATGGCAACGTATACATATGTATATATGCGATACTTAAGGGTTTTATAAACCGTACTTTCTATATTGATGTTATGTAGATATACGAAAAATTCAACTGTCAGCTATGATGTACAATCAAAAAATTTCGTACAAGGTATAATGTTCTTAAAACCCGTTTTCAACAATTATAGCTTATAAGACTCTGTAAATTAGAAAAGCATGTCTTGAAATTGGAATTAGGTATTCTTATAATTATTATGGAAATAGGTTTACATCACGTACAATCTTTATCTTTTTAATATTTTAGAAAATATTCACTGGAACATCTCATAACACACAATTAAATTATATCACTTTCATAGAACTAACTGTCTATACCAGAATAATCAATAGATTGCCTATCCTTCAAGTTTGTTTTTTTTTTTAACTTCTAAAAAAAAATTGAAATATTTATAAGCAAATTGGATTTAAAACAAAAGAGTATCCTAATATTCTAAAAACAAAGCATTTTACAATTTGCGAAAAACGAAAAAAAAACTTTTTCTTTTAAACTTCAAATTGTTTTACTTTAACCCATTTCTATATATAAGAAATTTTAAAAAAATACAGTCAACCAAATCAATTGCCTTAAAATAGCCCATTTCATTTCAACAATGTGTGTTCTGATTCAACATTTTGAGATCTTTAAGACCGAAAATGTAAAAAAACTTTAATCAAAACCATTTAGACTTATAACTAAATGTTATTGCATACATTCAGGATGAATGTCTTGTTGCATACATTGAGGAGGAAAATAAAAGGAAAAATGTACTGGTATAACAATTAAAGTAAAATAATTATGACAGTTAAGAAAAATCTCAATTTTTGATATTATACGATTGATTTTAATATTCGCACTTTTATTATAAACAATGTCAACAAATTTCAGAGAAATAAATGTCCGGAAATTGTAATTTTTGAGCTATTGCGACAAAAAAAACTCAAAAATTCCATATTCTTACTTCGAAAATACGGATAGACGATTAGAGTCAAACTAATTGAGACTTTTTCTTTAGAAATGTTTTGGAAACGTACTTGAAATGAAGCCATATTCCTATATCACTATTAATATTGGAGCAAAAAAAAATAAGGACTTCAATTTGTTTACCCTATTTATTAATGTCTGCATTCCCTTTCATTTTTGTTTTCATATTTTTTTTTTCCTTTTTGCTCTTGTAACTTTTTCTCATTACTTTTATTATATAGAATCTACATTTAAATAGATCCCTAATACCCATATGTTTTGTGAACTTATAAGAAAAAAGGATAATGTTACACATTACAATTATACGTATATAGGGTATATAAAATGCCTTTTCGTACTTAGACCCACATCATTTAGAGAAAAAAAAAAAACAAACATAATATTGAAAAATCCCACAGTATTTTGTCTCAATGAAAATGAAAATAAGAAAAAAAAATATTACTCTACTATAAACCAATATTGGTATACACAAAAACCAATATTCCTTGCCATCAAAGTGGTATTTAACAGCTCATATACATACTATGTAAACATATGTATACATACACATGTTGTATATGCTTTCATACGTACATACATATGTTTGTAGATAAATTCTTAATGCAAAAAATAGAGCAACATTGTTTATAATAACATCATAGGTAGAAGGATGATTCACATATACACTTCAAATCGAAATCGAATCGTTTTTGTTTAAGTCTAACAGAACGTTTCGAGTTTGAAAACTCGTTTGAAATTCTAATTTACAATAATTATTGTTTAACTAGTATCGCTCAAATTTTGTTCACATATTATAGAAGGTAGGAATTTTTTAAAAGATTGTAAGGGCTAAGTTAAGAGATAACGTAAACATGGAGCTTATGTGCTTTCGAAATGTCTAGTATATTATTCAATTTTTTGTCACTTATATTAAGTTTTCACAGTTAACCTTAAAGAGTAACCTAATTCAATTTTAAATGCTCCAAAAACGAAAGTATAGGGTAAAACATTTATAAACCATAATCAACCCGTATAATTAAAATTATTTTTTTTTATTGACTCTTTATATGCCATAAAAATCAAGTAAATTTAATTTATTCAAGGTATTCAGAAAATTATTTTTATAAAAATTTATAATGGTACATATATACAGGGTGCTTGGCAAAATATGGCAAATTATTTTAGAGATGATTCTTTGATCAATTTCCAGCAAAAAATTAAATAAGTAGAAGGGTCCAGATATACTTGTTGAAAAAATAAGATACCAGATTTTTCCTGCATATAAATAAATACATATAACTTGGGAACAACGCAAGATAGAGTAATCATTTGAAGCTTGTTTTACTGACGATTGATTTTTCTTTATTTTTAGTTTGACAATCAATTTGATTTGAGCCATTGTTTTCGAGGTAAAGCTCGTCAAAATCAGAATTTTAATTTTCTTTTTGGAATTTTTTTTTAAAAAATCGAAATTTCTCGGAATTTTTTTTGTAAAGCTAAGATTGGGGGTTAAAGTTAATTTAACATTTTCCCTTATCTCTCATAGTTTTGCAAGTAAAACCTGTTAACTGTAATTATTGTGCCAGTAAAATATGAAAAATTCATTTCAAAATCATCTCTGAAATTATTAGCCACCTTATGCGAAAGACCCTGTATGTACAGAAAAATATTAAAAAAAACAAAAATTCATGAATAAATTTATTACTTGAAATGAAAATTAATGAAAAACCATTACAAATGTTGTTTTTTTTTATTCTATCTCGTTATTAATGCTTTCTAAGAATTTCAGAATGGCAAAACTGTTAAGTATCATAATAATATGCTCATAAGGATAATTTAAAAAGTGCTTATACAATAATATTCAAATAAATATATAAAAATAATAAAAAATAGCCTCCAAACACACAAAAAAAAATTTATTGATTTCCATGAATTTTGTTTTTTCCTTCTCGTCCTCCTTACGAGTATTAACATTATTATCATTCAAAGGATATTTTATACTTTATAATAAAACAGAAATACCATAAAATCAACGTAAAAGAAAAAAAAATTTATTATCTTTTTAAAATTGATTTTTATTATTTTTGATTTCACTCGACTCCACTTTTTTTTAATGTTCTTATTTCCGTCCCACTTTCATTCAAGAAGAGAAAAAGGAAATGGTGAAAAAGTTCCACACTATACTCACATTGATTTTCTGATTTCAAATATCACATAAAATTTAATTCAATTTTGTTAGTCAAATGAGGCAAGCAGCCAACAAATAAAGAAAAAAACAGGAAGATTAACAATAAATTTTTACTCAAAATTTTATGTCCATCATCCACCGAAGAGATAAATAGAAAATAAATTAAATAAAATTTTTTTTTAGGTTATGACAGCGTTTTTAAGAGGTATAAAGTATTGTGTGCCGAAAATATCGTAAACGAGCCAGAAATTTTCATCAATTTTAAAATGAAATTTAATAGGAATGGCTTTTGAAAATTCTATCAATTTTCTGGAACCTGCCAAATTTACTTGAATTTGTTCTAAATTTACAATATTTTTGATTTGATTTAATAAAAAATCAGAAATGAATAAGTGGCATCTCATTACAGCTAAAAATACTAAGCTAATTACGATAGGTCAACTGCAATTTGGATATGAAAGTAACAAAATGTACATTACAAACTTCTGACACAACTAGAAAAAATAACGCATTATTGGCATTATGACTACTAGACTAGTAATTTTAATAATAAATTTTAATATTAAAATAATAATGGCAGGAAGTTGGGGCTAGATTATTAAAATTAAATATTGTAAAAATATACTCGTACAATAAATTTCTTTTAAAAAGAAAGATAATTTCAATAAATAGAAAATATTCAATATAGTTGAGGAAATTAACAAAATTCTTGATACAAAGTAAATAAAAATTTAAATAAAATGCCAGAAAAATGAAGAATAAATTTCTATCACAAAAATTTTTCTTTTTTTTAATGGTTAAAAAGAATAAAAACTCAACAAAATTAAAAGGTCTTTAACAGAATTATAAAAAAACAGCAATGGTAACATGAAAAAAATTTAAAGATGCTACTAAAACTGAATTAAATTGCTTAAAAATTCTAAAGTCTATTCAGGATTTCGATTGATTTTTTGATAGATTTTTAAATTAACTACTAAAAATTAATTGAATTTCAAAGATTATTCTTTAGATCGTATTTCTTTCTGCTGGTTACGAAGCTGACAAAGGCAAATTTTAGGAATTCCATAGCTTATGGTAGCTGCGTAAACTTAATATAGTCTACGTATATAATGTGTACATGTATGAAACTATTACCGCTACACAAGAATTAGAGTACATAAAATAAATTCAATTAATTTCACGAATGATTTTTTGAACAATTTCCATCAAAAATTGCATTGATAGGGGTGTACAGATACATTCGTTTTCGAGCTACAGTCTGTTGAAAAAAAGGTACAGGATTTTTCCTGCATGTAAATAAAATATGCTTATAATTTTGAAACCATGCAACATAGAGTGACCGTATTGAATTTGTTTTAATGGCAATTGATTGCTCTTTATTTTTGGTCTTACAATTAATTTGATTTGAGCCATAGTTTTCGAGATACAGGGCGTCAAAATCAGAATTTTTGCTTTTTTATTTTTAAAAATTTTTTAAAAAAAATCGAAATTTCTCGAAAATTTTTTTTTTCTTACAAAATTTTAATTAAAGCTGGTAACAATACATTTTAAAACAAACAAAATATTAATCTTTTATTTAGGAGTATTAATCTTAAATCAATTAATTAAGCTCAATTTTATTAATTAAATATTAAAAATTAAATATTAAAAATTATTTACTTACTTTTTTGTTGATGGTCTTCCTGCCAACCATATTGCAAATAATGATATCATAAAACTAGCAAAATCAGTTAAAAGATGTGCTGCATCTGTAGCTATAGCTAAACTACCAGAAAGTACACCACCTATAGAAAGATATTTTTTTCAATGTAAATTATAAATTTGCAGTTAAAAATTAAAAAGAAGTAAAAATAGAAAGTAAAATTTAATAGCCATTATAAAAAAATGAAAATTGTTAAAAGAAAATCTTATTTAATGTAATAAGCATTAAAAAAGCATTAAAAGAGACTCAATAGTTTTAGGAAATATTGGAAATGGTGTTATAAATTTGTCAGAAGGAGGCTAATGGTCATAACATTTAAATCTTAAGTTAAAATTATTATTCGGTTCCCAAGAGGTCTGATACGGTCTACCTCAATTAATTATATAAATTTTTTTCGTTAATTGGTTTGTATTGTGGAATAAATTAAAATTTTACTATAAAATATTTTAATGCTCATAACTGGAACTAACGCAGTACCTCATAATTAGGATCCTTTAAAGAATTGATGATTTCACGAGGATTCTCAAGAAACTATATACTTATAAATATGGGATTTAGTATGTACGATGCTTATGTCCAAAATTTTTATATACAAAGTGACCTTTCCATTACAAAAAAGTTCAAATTTATCCTAAAGTTACCGGGATCAAACACATAATTTTGCATCATTCTCCATTTTCTTTTAAGTCAAACTTTATTATTTTAAATAGGATAAATTTTTTTTTTAATAAAAAATTTTTTTTTATTTTATCTTAAAAGGAAAATCTTCCATTGAGATGGAAAGTGCAATTTTTTTTGTTTTAGAAAAAAAAATTCTATAGAATAACAATAAATGAGTTTTTGTAAAGTATTCTTTTGAATGAAACCGCAAGATCTAAGATAACTACAATGAATTTCCTTAGAAATTTTTAATTTTCACCACCTGTTTAAATTATGAATTAAAAATTTATTTGACTTTTATAAGTCAAAATTTTAAAAATTTTCTTTATGAACCCAGATCAATATTTTTTGTCTTGCACAAAATATCTTTATGATTTCTTAGCCATTGTAATTATTATTTACAAACTTTATTAACTTTCCGTTCAGTTTTATAAGTCCAAAAACCGAGAAAGTCAGATTCCCATTTGATTCGAATAGTATTTCTATAATTTTAATTTTAAGGAAGTTCTTTATAGTTTCGGTCATTGAAATCGGTGGGTAATTACAATTTATTAAAAAAAAAAATTTTTTCACTTACCAACAACTTCTGCAATAATAAAGATCACACACAATATACTTGCAATAATAAGTTTCTTTCTAGCTTTTGTATCAACACCTTCCGTTCTTTTACGATGGCAATGACCACGAACTGTAAAACAAAACAAAAAGATATTTTTTAAATTGGAAATGTGAAAATAATTTTGATTCAAATATCGTACTTTATCGTTCCGATTCAGATCAATATAAATTTCAGTAAAAAATTTCAATGATAATTAAAAATTCGATAAAATTTCTCATTAATAATGACAAAATAGCAAAGTACATAACAACAATAATAATGAAAAACTAGACTACAATAATACTGAAATGGCATATATCCTTATTAAACTAATTAAAATCTATATTACAGATTTAATTAGACACTTTAAAAGGAACTATATACACAAAACTTAAACTATACTCACTCAAAAAATACCGAAAGAAATCCTTAAACCAAAACTTTACTTTCCTTTTCACACCCATAAAATCTTTGTAAATTGAATATACATACGAGTAGTATATATTTTGTATAAGTGTTATACTCTAAATCAGTTGTATATAAACAAAATTATTATGTGTAAATTAAAAGAATTTGAAGAGCACTTCGTCTATTCAAAATTATTTTAATTTTTTTTGTAATTTAGTTTTTACTCTTACGGCTCCGCATTCTTAAAATTCTTTTAACTTTTATAAGTATATTTTTGATGACCTTCTTATATATATTTTTTTCCCAAAAAATTTTCTTATTTTCATGAATGTTAAATTTTCATTTTATAGTTCAAGTTCTAGTATTACATTAATGAAAGACTCTTTTAATTATGTAACACACACAAATTAACACTATCTAAAATTTTATATTCTTTATCTTCTTTATAAAGCAAAAACTCTTTAATTTTTTCTTCCTTCAATTTGCAAGTGTACCTTATAAGGTACTCGTATTCCTTTAATTATAACAAAAAAAAATTATAATGAAAATTAGTTAAGAATTTTTTTTTTTTAGAAAGTTTGAAGGGCATATACCCACTTTTAGAATAAGATTTGATCGTACATAGTTTCTAGTAATCAAAAAGAGACTATTCTTAAAGAATTTTGATAAGAGAAAAATTTGAGAGCATAAAAAAGGATTATATATAATTTTATTTGCATATAATATACACCATGTAATTTGTTGCATGAATTTATAATCAAAAACTACCATAATATTTACATATTTACAAATAATTAAAACCAGAACATTAAAAAGGAAATTGTAAGTGTTAAGGATTTAAAGTAAAAAATTTAAGAAGATCCTCACATTTTTTTCCTTATCCGAAGAAATTTAAATTAAATTAAAAGTATAAAATAACTAAAATATCTAATTTAAAGGTCATATTTAGAGGACAAACAGCTTCCAATTTTCAAATATTATATATATGGGTCTTATACGAAGATATGTGAATAATTACAGGAATTATTCATTGAACTCGAAATATCTTCGACTGTTTCTTTTTAATTAAATTATTCCCTAATTATTTATTAATTACCAATTAAATTATATTAATATTTAGTATACAACTTATAATTTTATAATAGTTATAGCGTAAATTTACTGCCAAATATACTATTATTTGAATTATATACTGTCAAAATTTGAAGTGTCATTGCGATTCCCATCCGAAACCGTCATGAAAAAAAAACATTACGGGCACGAATTATTTTAGTGTTTTCATAGAATTGCAAAGCTAGGATGTAAATTTATGTAAAAGAGATGATATACAATTTTTTATTGAAACAAGTTAAAAAAGGGATCAAAGAAAAAATTCCATACACATACATCATACACGCACAAAAAATACAAAAAGAATATGTGAGAGAAATAATAGTTGAGTTTTCTCTCCATTTACTCAAAAATTTTATTTTACTCTTTTTATTGTTTTCGAAAATGATCATGCTCTTCGACTAGATATCAAAGTATTATTGAGTACATAACAAATAAATGAGCTGATAAAGAGAAAATTTCTACTTGGATTGGTTTGGTAGCGTTATTTACGTTCCTGTTACTGTTTTTGCGTTATTCTGCTGTTGTGATTAATTTAAAATAACAATATTATTGTTCTTGGATGTAAGACTATTTTTGAGATTTAAAAGTAGTTGGCATAGAATTAAAATTTAGTGAATATGGTCCGGATTGTACTGGTTTAAAAACAAATATTCAATTTCCTTCTCATTTCTTTGTTTTAGAGAAATCACAATATTATATTTTAAATTTAGACCAAACCATTACATTTTACATAAGAGTTTTAATATTTTACTTCCATCCACAATACATTTACCTATTCGCATACGACTAGAATAAAAATCATATTCAAATAGGAACCAACTTTTCAATAGGAATACTTTCAATATTCTGATAAGGTCTAATAAAATTATTTTATCCTCTTTTACATAATTATATCATTAAATAAATGATCACCAAAAAGACTCTCTTATAAGTTTCTACATATAGATATTATGCAAAATCCAAATACTATCTAGAAAGTTTTTTTTTTAACAAAGAAACCTAAATATAGCTATACTATTGTAAATTTTAAATGTTAATATTTTAAATAAATAAAAAGAATAAAAGTAACCAAAACAATAACCATATAACAAAATTGTAGAAAATTTAAAGCAACCAATTTATACTACTAACTTATTAAAAGGATTAAATGAATCATACATATATACACACAATGAATGAGAATGTAAAGAAAGCATTATTTTTAAATGAAATTTATTAATAGAGTTTTGTTTTTTCCTTCTCGTAAATAGCTATTCCTCTTTTTGATGTAAATAACCATTGCAATGCTATACCCTAATATTTAATATGTATATAACATTAAATTAAAAAGATCCCTACAATTATATTTGTCTATTTACTTTGAAATAAACATTTTGTTCCCTAGTTACAATCTACTTTAACTATTTGGTTTATAACAATGAATACCTATATATATATATGTACTTAATGCCAAAGATATAATAATGTTTACGTTCCTTTTAAGGGTATACAACATTTCACGTAGCACTAAAGCCGTCCAACGTTCAAATCGCCTTACAGATAAGGAAGACATATATAGCACTCCAAGTGTATAACACTCTCAATCAATGCAGCTTGACCATACCATTAGTAATTTAAAAGAAGTTTTTTCAGAATCTAGAACCTGAGTCGATGTAAGATATATGAAGTCAATGCAAATAACACTTAACGAGTATTTTATTTTGGTAGATTGCTTTATATTTTTATCCATATGTAAAATAAATTGAGTATAATTAAATCAGTTTTTACTCATAACAGGTACCTGATTTACACACAAAACACCCTCCAATATACAAAGTACTACCAACAATCCTAGAACTAATTCAGTTTATTAAATAAACTTAAAAGGAGCGCAATGAATGTACAAATAATATTAGATGCAATATATAAAAGTATATGCAATTTCATTGCAACATACCAATTGTAAACTATATACTTACATACACAAAATGACCTAGGGATATGAATTCCTTTAAATTTATTTTATTATAAAGAAAAATATAAAGGAAAAATTTCCATATGGTAACCAACCAACTAAACAATCAACTATTAAAAAGAAGTACGTATGTACATATTTACAGTGTAACACGAAGCAAAGGAAAAATTTTAAAGTGAATAATTTTTCCTAGGTCAATATAAAATAGGAAAATACAGAATATGTATATACACCATTACGTATTTATGCTGATATTAATATTGTTAAAGCTTATATGTGTTAGCTTAGAAACCATATGAATATTCTGTATGAATACATGCCGAATATTATAGTTATGGTATATAATGTTATTCCCTCTTTGCTAACTTTAAATTATTTTTAATTCTCTAAAATTTAACAATCTAAAGTAAAATTTTTGCAAAGGATCTTCTATTCTAGAGTGTACTAAATCCATACTTTATCATATTTTTAAATTTGACAGAAATATAATTGTTGATTTTGAGTAAAGTAAAGTCAATTATAATTCAGAATCATTTCTTAACGAATCTGAAAATTGCAACATTATTCAAACCATTAAAATTTTCCTTTGTTTCCAAAAACCTAACCCTTAGTAAAGTTTCATTTCTGTTGGTTTTTACGTTACATGAACTATTAACAGCTACAATAGCAAAAGAAACTACAAAGATATGAAAGATCAACGTGTCAATTCCAATGCAAATAAAATTTTTCTGAGTGTGTGCAGAACGAAATAGCATCTATATAATACGTATAATGATCTAATTTTGAAAATTTCAAGGTGAAACAATTGAAATCTCATTCACTAACTAGCTTAATTGTTAAATAATTGACACCTTATAACACATTACCTTATAACACATTAATGGACACCGCATAATAGATACGATATTGGTTTCACTCATGTACGCTGTGCTCATCATTCCAAATCTGATTTTCAAATTTCAAACCGCACTATCAAAATATCAAAAACTACGTATAATACAAAAAAATTTCATTATCACACACATATTTTTTCTGAGTGTCCGTGAAAATAAAGAGTCTTAATGCATTAATACATTATAAGAAAGCAAATTATTTTAATTTTGTACGCTTATGAATTAAATTTCCTCTATATAGATATTTTACTAAATTACAAAAGAAATAAGAATGCTTTCTTTTAAAATAAACAAAATTGCCCTCAAAATTTTAAACATACATTTACATATACATATGTATACACAAATAATCGTAAACCTTTAAGCCGTAAAATAATAAAAGAAAATTTATTCAGATATTCACTAAACACTTAAGAATTTAACTTAATATATTACATATACATATACATAATGTATAATACGAGTTAAAATTAGCTACTTCTTAAAAAATGAAATTCTACAAAAGAAAATTTCTTTAAAAATTCATGGTCATTATAATAAAAAAGTAATTTTTAATTTCCATTCCTCTTTTCTTTTTCATTTTCTGCACAGTAGCTTTGAAGTCTTCACACTATAAAGGTAATAATAAGGCAGTATGTAATATAATAAATACCCTTGCGCATATATGCAAGTATGTATGTACATATTTGTAAAAATTTGGAGTTCTTTTTTGATGTGGTGCA